TAATTACTATGTATTCGTAACATTAAAACATCTCATTTTATGTCTTCGTTATAAAATAAAAATTAAAAAACAATCCCTATAAGCCTGTACTCCCAATATTTACTATCATTGATCTCATTTATTTGTTTACCAACCAACAAGGATATGCTTATTTGTTTTTTCGTAGTTATTATACATATCTATTGTTTGCAATGATTCCATTTTTTCTTATAAAAATTGATTGCATGCAGGTACAAATAAAGTTACCATGTTCCACAAGCTAGTCCGAGATGTTTTAACCGATTGTTATCGAATGTTAAACGCGACGGGCAATTCGTTGCCAGAGTCTGCGACAGAGAACCATCTAGATGTTTTAACAACCGCTGGCCAGCAACGAGGCCGAGATTATTTGGTCGATTGTTAGCGAATATGTTTTTGTAAAACGCTTCAGCATAACAAGCGCGCCGTCACATCCCCGTACGTGCGCTTTGAATCCGATGCATTCATGCTGACCCATTAGGAACATGAAAACATTATTCCTAAAAGAATTGAGAAGTAATTTTTCTTTAAATATATGAAGTTTGCATAACTTTTTTTAAGGTTTGGCAGAAAATAAATGCACGAAAAATAAACACATTATTTTTTTAACTTATTGGAAGGCAAAATTTCTACATTCCATGAAACGACGCTATGAGAAAAATTTTGAAGCAACCAAATCCGACTCGGCAAGCTAGCGATCGATTTGCAGAATTCGTATGAATTGTTCGCTGATTGGCTATCGTTGCTGCTTCTACTTGGCTTTTGTTATTGTCGCAAAATCAATTTGCGAAGTAAACTTGCCGACTATGCACTGAAAAAATTTATTTCATCTTGCACTTGAAAACATAATTATAATAAAATGGTGTTTAATATTAATTGGGAAGTTGATTTTTTATTTACAGAAAATTTTAAAGCTGAAGCACAGTGTTTGTGTGTTTTAGCGTTATACAGCAGAAGAGTAGATATGATTTGAAGAAACATTATATGCGCAATTTTGTAGGAGAATCACGCAATTGATGGGTGCTGAGTTAAAAAAGTTGTTTGTAGAACATGATGCCAACAAAATATCAACGATAATTAGTTGAGAACGATTTAAAAGTATATTTTTTTTAACTAACAACCTCTTCTTCTTCTTGTTGTTGTTGTTGTAGCAGCATACAAATTCCCCAAAGACTTTTTGGGGAGTCTTGCTGGAGTGACAGTCCTTGGCCAGATATAAATCTGGGTCGTTCCGGTTACGTAGACCCGACTGTCGTGGGAACGTCTTCTTCTTCTTCTTAATTGGCGCTGTAACCGCCTAAGCGATTTTGGCCGAGTCCAAAACAGCACGCCAGTCATTTCTCTTCTGTGCTAACTGACGCCAATTGAAAATGCCAAGTGAAGCCAAGTCCTTCTCCACCTGGTCTTTCCAACGCAGAGGAGGCCTTCCTCTTCCTCTGTTACCAGCATCGCGGCCCGCGTTGAATATTTTCAGAGCAGGAGCGTTTCTGTCCATCCGAACGACATGGCCAAGCCAGCGGAGCCGCTGAATTTTAATTCGCTGCACTATGTCTATATCGTTGTAAAGCTCATACAGCTCATCGTTAAATCGTCTGCGATATTCGCCATCACCAACGCGTAAAGGTCCGTAAATCTTTCGCAGAATCTTTCTCTCGAAAACTCCAAGAGCCGCCTCATCAGATGCTTTCATTGTCCATGCCTCCGCGCCATACACCAGCACAGGCATGATGAGTGACTTATAGAGTGTGATCTTTGTACGACGAGAGAGGACTTTACTTCTCAATTGCCTACTCAGCCCAAAGTAGCACTTGTTGGCAAGAGTGATTCTCCGTTGGATTTCAAGGCTGACATTATTATTGGTGTTAATGCTGGTTCCCAAATAAACGAAGTCGTCTACTTTTTCAAACTTGTAACTGTCAACAGTGACGTGGGTGCCAAGACGCGTATGCTCTGACTGTTTGTGTGCTGACAGGAGATACTTCGTTTTGTCCTCGTTCACCACCAGACCCATTCGCTTTGCTTCTCTATCCAATCCCGAGAAGGCAGAACAGACGTAGCCCTTGTTTTTACCGATAATATCGATGTCGTCGGCATACGCCAGCAATTGTACGCTCTTATAAAGTATTGTGCCTGAGCGGTTCAGTTCTGCGGCTCTTATTATCTTCTCCAACATAAGATTAAAGAAATCACACGAAAGGGAGTCCCCTTGTCTGAAACCTCGTTTGGTATCAAACGGCTCGGAGAGGTCCTTCCCTATTCTGACGGAGCTGGTGGTATTGCTCAACGTCATTTTACACAGCCGTATTAGTTTCGCGGGGATACCAAATTCAGACATCGCGGCATAAAGGCAACTTCTCTTCGTGCTGTCGAAAGCGGCTTTGAAATCGACAAATAGATGGTGTGTGTCGATCCTATTCTCGCGGGTCTTTTCCAAGATTTGGCGTATTGTGAATACCTGATCTATGGTGGATTTTCCAGGCCTAAAGCCACACTGATAAGGTCCAATCAGCTCGTTGACGGTGGGCTTCAGTCTTTCGCACAATACGCTCGATAAGACCTTGTAACCTATGCTTAGAAGGCTAATTCCGCGGTAGTTGGCGCGTATGGCGGGGTCGCCTTTCTTGTGGATTGGGCAGAGCACACTTAAATTCCAGTCGTCGGGCATGCGTTCATCTGACCATATTCTGCATACGAGCTGATGCATGCACCTCATCAGCTCCTCGCCGCCGTACTTGAATAGCTCGGCTGGCAGGCCGTCAGCTCCAGCAGCTTTGTTGTTTTTCAGCCGCGTAATCGCTATTCGTACCTCGTCATAGTCAGGCGGTGGGACAGCTACTCCATCATCATCGACTGGGGACTCGGGTTCGTCTTCCTCACTACTTTCAGCGCTGCTACCATTCAGTAGGTTATAAAAGTGTTCCCTCCACAATTTAAGTATATTCTGGACATCGGTCACTAGGTCGCCATTGTTGTTCTTACAGGAGTTCGCCCCGGTCTTGAAACCTTCCGTAAGTCGCCTAACCCTCTGGTAGAATTTTCGGGCGTTCTTCCTGTCGGCCAGCATCTGAAGCTCTTCGCACTCACGTATTTCGGCCTCTCTCTTCTTATTGCGGCAAATACGTCTCGCTTCCTTCTTCAGTTCCCTATAACGGTCCCACATGGCTCGCGTTGCGCCCGATCGCAGCGTGGCCCTGTAGGCGGCATCTTTTTTCTCTGCGGCTTCTTGACATTCCTCATCGTACCAGTTGTTCTTTCGGGCTCGCTGAAATCCAACTACTTCTTCGGCGGCGGTACTTAATGATCGGGAAATGTGGTTCCACTGCTCGCGTACGTCGGATTGTTGAAGAGTGCTCTCAGAGAGCAGGTGTGTGAGTCGAGTGGCGAATAAATTGGCCGTCTGTTGTGATTGCAGCTTTTCGACGTTAAGCTTTCCTTGCATTGTTGGGCGCACATTTTTTGCTGCACAGAGGCGGGTGCGTATCTTGGCTACAACAAGATAGTGGTCCGAGTCGATGTTTGGCCCTCGGAGTGTACGTACGTCCAAAACGCTTGAAGCATGCCTTCCGTCTATCACAACATGATCGATTTGGTTTCTCGTTTTTCGATCTGGAGACAGCCATGTAGCTTGGTGGATGTTCTTATGCTGGAACCTAGTACTACATATTACCATATTTCGGGCCCCGGCGAAGTCGATCAGCCTCAGTCCGTTATCGGACGTTTCGTCGTGGAGGCTGAATTTTCCGACAGTGGCGCCAAAGATCCCTTCCTTGCCCACCTTGGCATTAAAATCGCCAAGCACGATTTTGACATCGTGTCGGGGGCAGCGCTCATATGTACGTTCCAAGCGCTCATAGAAGAGATCCTTGGACGCCTCATCCTTCTCTTCCGTCGGGGCATGGGCGCAGATGAGCGAGATGTTGAAGAATCTAGCTTTGATGCGGATTGTGGCTAGACGTTCGTCCACCGGGGTGAACGCCAGTACTCGGCGACGGAGTCTCTCTCCTACCACGAATCCAACACCGAATTTGCGCTCCTTTACGTGGCAACTGTAGTAGACGTCGCAAGGCTTCACGCTTACTTTACCTTGCCCCGTCCATCGCATTTCTTGGATGGCGGTGATGTCAGCCTTTGTCTTCCCGAGGACATCAACCAGCCGGGCAGAGGCACCTTCCCCATTAAGGGTCCGGATATTCCAGGTGCATACCCTTAAATCATAGTCCTTTATACGTTTGCCGTGGTCGTCATCAGAAAAAGGGGGTCTCATCCGAGGCTGTTTGTTTCTTTTCATTGGGCGGGGTTTTAACGTGGCGGGACCCAAACCCAGCGCACGCGAAGTTTTACGCCTTCTCACTTTAGCTCGCTCCCAAACGGGTGTTTGGTTGCTACCCAGAGGATACGTGGATATAAATATCCGGACGTTGTGAGCTGCGATTTGAACTAACAACCTATTGTACCTAAAAATATTCATTAAAACGAAATTATATAAAAAAATAATATAAAAACGAATAAAATTAAAAAAAAAAAGTAGAATGAAATTCAATGAGCTCTGATTTTTATTTTTTTCCGCAGAGTGGAGCTGGATGTTTAACAAAAGTTTATGTTTATTATCTAATTGGACATAAAATCACGTTTCTACTCCTTATTTCTTTTTTTTAATTTAGTTTTTTTTTATTTTTAGAGTGTACTGATTTCACTATTTTTCTTAAATTTAGCTTTTATTTTTATTAAAAAAAAAAAACATATTAATAAATGTTTGAATTTTTAGAGCGTACTCATACTTTTTACTGGTGAAAATTTGCGTTTTAAACGTAGTGGTGCGCGCGCTTCCATTTGAAATTTTTGGGCACCACTGATCCAGATCAACGCTTTATGATAGCAGACCATTACCACCGACAAAATTTGTTTTTTTTTTAGCTAGTCCAAAGACTTATTTAGTTTAGTGTCCCTCTTGTAATGAAATTTTAATATCAAAGTAATTTCAGATTTTTTTCCTCATTACGTAAAACTGCTAAAAAAGTAGACAAAAAATTGCAACCTTGGATTGAAGAACAAACCCCTGGACCTTTTCGGGAACATGAGGCTCCCACGACCAACGTCTTCATGGCCGACTTTGTCAACTTAAAGGACGGAAAATTTTGTAACATGGTTATAGAACTAAATTACAAACTTAAAAATTTCTAAAAATTTTATAGGACACGAATCAGATGCTAATTTTATACATACATATGTGATTGAACACATAAGTGTAATGAACTTTGTACAAATAAACTATAATAGAAAATATAATACAATAAGCAATAGTTTTATTTTATTTATATAAAACTAGCTTACAACATAAATCTTATAAGCTATGTATGTATATGTGTTAGGAGCTATAGAAGCTAGGCCTTAAGCTCGAAATTTTCATACATATTTCCATTCTTAGATCTAAACATCATCTTATTTTAGATCCTATGATAGAGATTGGTTTTTTTAAGGAATTTAGTTATTAGGAATATTGATTCGGCCGAAGGGACTGAGAGGTGTGATATTAGATTTGTGTTAGTGATTATTTGTTCTCTACAGGTGGCATGCAGTGGGCAGCTCAAGAGAAGATGGGTAACTGTGGCAGTGTTGCAAGCACAATGTTGGGTTTGTGTTATTCATAAGATGACCGTGTGTTATTTTCGTGTGTCCTAATCGAAGGCGTTCGAATTTTATGATGTCTAGTCCTGTAGGTGTTTTTTTTAGTTTTTTGTAAGAAATATATTATATGGGTCTTTGTGTAGTTTGTGTTTTGGTACCAGTCGTTGGTTAGGTTCCATTCGAAGCGATGATTGTTGTAGAAGTGTTGTTTAATATGATTTTTAATATCGAGTAAGTTGCAGTTGTCTGTGCTACTGGACTTTGATGAGCTTGTTTGGCGGCTTGGTCGGCGAGGTTGTTGCCGACTATATTTGTATGTCCAGGCACCCATATTAGAATAATTTTTGGGTGGTATTGTGTGATAATGTTTCTGATGTTGGTTGTGTAATAGCTGCTGTTGTTTATATCGGCTATGGAATTTAGAGCGGAGAGTGAGTCTGAGCATATAGCAACGTTCTTTCTCTTGTGTTTACTAGGTTTATTGCTTCAGATATGGCAATAATTTCTGTTGAATATACAGAATTATAGTATAGAATAAATGATTTATTCATAATTTCGTTTTCTAAGGTTATGCTATATGAAGTGCTTTCATTTATCTTAGATCCATCAGTATAAATAAAAGTATAGTTATGGTATTTATTTCTAACTTCGTTGAAAATTGCCTGATATTGGATCGGGTTCGTGTTGTTCTTGTTGAGGTTATGCAATGTAGTGTTAATTGCTTTTGAGTTAAAGGGCCATGGGGGATAATTATGGGTACCATATTTAGTTGGCTTTAGAGGTAAAAAAAAAAACATATTAATAAATGTTTGAATTTTTAGAGCGTACTCATACTTTTTACTAGTGAAAATTTGCGTTTTAAATGTAGTGGTGCGCGCGCTTCCATTCGAAATTTTTGGGGCACCACTGATCCAGATCAACGCTTTATGATAGCAGACCATTACCACCGACAAAATTTGTTTTTTTTTAGCTAGTCCAAAGACTTATTTAGTTTAGTGTCCCTCTTGTAATGAAATTTTAATATCAAAGTAATTTTAGATTTTTTTCCTCATTACGTAAAACTGCTAAAAAAGTAGACAAAAAATTGCAACCTTGGATTGAAGAACAAACCCCTGGACCTTTTCGGGAACATGAGGCTCCCACGACCAACGTCTTCATGGCCGACTTTGTCAACTTAAAGGACGAAAAATTTTGTAACATGGTTATAGAACTTAATTACAAACTTAAAAATCTAAAAATTTTATAGGACACGAATCAGATGCTAATTTTATACATAGATATGTGATTGAATACATAAGTGTAATGAACTTTGTACAAATAAACTATAATAGAAAATATAATACAATACAACATAAATCTTATAAGCTATGTATGTATATGTGTTAGGAGCTATAGAAGCTAGGCCTTAAGCTCGATATTTGCATACATATTTCCATTCTTAGATCTAAACATCATCTTATTTTAGATCCTATGATAGAGATTGGTTTTTTTAAGGAATGTAGTTATTAGGAATATTGATTCGGCCGAAGGGACTGAGAGGTGTGATATTAGATTTGTGTTAGTGATTATTTGTTCTCTACAGGTGGCATGCAGTGGGCAGCTCAAGAGAAGATGGGTAACTGTGGCAGTGTTGCAAGTACAGTGTTGGGTTTGTGTTATTCATAAGATGACCGTGTGTTATTTTCGTGTGTCCTAATCGAAAGCGTTCGAATTTTATGATGTCTAGTCCTGTAGGTGTTTTTTTTAGTTTTTTGTAAGAAATATATTATATGGGTCTTTGTGTAGTTTGTGTTTTGGTACCAGTCGTTGGTTAGGTTCCATTCGAAGCGATGATTGTTGTAGAAGTGTTGTTTAATATGATTTTTAATATCGAGTAAGTTGCAGTTGTCTGTGCTACTGGACTTTGATGAGCTTGTTTGGCGGCTTGGTCGGCGAGGTTGTTGCCGACTATATTTGTATGTCCAGGCACCCATATTAGAATAATTTTTGGGTGGTATTGTGTGATAATGTTTCTGATGTTGGTTGTGTAATAGCTGCTGTTGTTTATATCGGCTATGGAATTTAGAGCGGAGAGTGAGTCTGAGCATATAGCAATGTTCTTTCTCTTGTGTTTACTAGGTTTATTGCTTCAGATATGGCAATAATTTCTGTTGAATATACAGAATTATAGTATAGAATAAATGATTTATTCATAATTTCGTTTTCTAAGGTTATGCTATATGAAGTGCTTTCATTTATCTTAGATCCATCAGTATAAATAAAAGTATAGTTATGGTATTTATTTCTAACTTCGTTGAAAATTGCCTGATATTGGATCGGGTTCGTGTTGTTCTTGTTGAGGTTATGCAATGTAGTGTTAATTGCTTTTGAGTTAAAGGGCCATGGGGGATAATTATGGGTACCATATTTAGTTGGCTTTAGAGGTAAAAAAAAAAACATATTAATAAATGTTTGAATTTTTAGAGCGTACTCATACTTTTTACTAGTGAAAATTTGCGTTTTAAATGTAGTGGTGCGCGCGCTTCCATTCGAAATTTTTGGGGCACCACTGATCCAGATCAACGCTTTATGATAGCAGACCATTACCACCGACAAAATTTGTTTTTTTTTAGCTAGTCCAAAGACTTATTTAGTTTAGTGTCCCTCTTGTAATGAAATTTTAATATCAAAGTAATTTTAGATTTTTTTCCTCATTACGTAAAACTGCTAAAAAAGTAGACAAAAAATTGCAACCTTGGATTGAAGAACAAACCCCTGGACCTTTTCGGGAACATGAGGCTCCCACGACCAACGTCTTCATGGCCGACTTTGTCAACTTAAAGGACGAAAAATTTTGTAACATGGTTATAGAACTTAATTACAAACTTAAAAATCTAAAAATTTTATAGGACACGAATCAGATGCTAATTTTATACATAGATATGTGATTGAATACATAAGTGTAATGAACTTTGTACAAATAAACTATAATAGAAAATATAATACAATACAACATAAATCTTATAAGCTATGTATGTATATGTGTTAGGAGCTATAGAAGCTAGGCCTTAAGCTCGATATTTGCATACATATTTCCATTCTTAGATCTAAACATCATCTTATTTTAGATCCTATGATAGAGATTGGTTTTTTTAAGGAATGTAGTTATTAGGAGGAGGGTTAGGCGACTTACGGAAGGTTTCAAGACCGGGGCGAACTCCTGTAAGAACAACAATGGCGACCTAGTGACCGATGTCCAGAATATACTTAAATTGTGGAGGGAACACTTTTATAACCTACTGAATGGTAGCAGCGCTGAAAGTAGTGAGGAAGACGAACCCGAGTCCCCAGTCGATGATGATGGAGTAGCTGTCCCACCGCCTGACTATGACGAGGTACGAATAGCGATTACGCGGCTGAAAAACAACAAAGCTGCTGGAGCTGACGGCCTGCCAGCCGAGCTATTCAAGTACGGCGGCGAGGAGCTGATGAGGTGCATGCATCAGCTCGTATGCAGAATATGGTCAGATGAACGCATGCCCGACGACTGGAATTTAAGTGTGCTCTGCCCAATCCACAAGAAAGGCGACCCCGCCATACGCGCCAACTACCGCGGAATTAGCCTTCTAAGCATAGGTTACAAGGTCTTATCGAGCGTATTGTGCGAAAGACTGAAGCCCACCGTCAACGAGCTGATTGGACCTTATCAGTGTGGCTTTAGGCCTGGAAAATCCACCATAGATCAGGTATTCACAATACGCCAAATCTTGGAAAAGACCCGCGAGAATAGGATCGACACACACCATCTATTTGTCGATTTCAAAGCCGCTTTCGACAGCACGAAGAGAAGTTGCCTTTATGCCGCGATGTCTGAATTTGGTATCCCCGCGAAACTAATACGGCTGTGTAAAATGACGTTGAGCAATACCACCAGCTCCGTCAGAATAGGGAAGGACCTCTCCGAGCCGTTTGATACCAAACGAGGTTTCAGACAAGGGGACTCCCTTTCGTGTGATTTCTTTAATCTTATGTTGGAGAAGATAATAAGAGCCGCAGAACTGAACCGCTCAGGCACAATACTTTATAAGAGCGTACAATTGCTGGCGTATGCCGACGACATCGATATTATCGGTAAAAACAAGGGCTACGTCTGTTCTGCCTTCTCGGGATTGGATAGAGAAGCAAAGCGAATGGGTCTGGTGGTGAACGAGGACAAAACGAAGTATCTCCTGTCATCACACAAACAGTCAGAGCATACGCGTCTTGGCACCCACGTCACTGTTGACAGTTACAAGTTTGAAAAAGTAGACGACTTCGTTTATTTGGGAACCAGCATTAACACCAATAATAATGTCAGCCTTGAAATCCAACGGGGAATCACTCTTGCCAACAAGTGCTACTTTGGGCTGAGTAGGCAATTGAGAAGTAAAGTCCTCTCTCGTCGTACAAAGATCACACTCTATAAGTCACTCATCATGCCTGTGCTGGTGTATGGCGCGGAAGCATGGACAATGAAAGCATCTGATGAGGCGGCTCTTGGAGTTTTCGAGAGAAAGATTCTGCGAAAGATTTACGGACCTTTACGCGTTGGTGATGGCGAATATCGCAGACGATTTAACGATGAGCTGTATGAGCTTTACAACGATATAGACATAGTGCAGCGAATTAAAATTCAGCGGCTCCGCTGGCTTGGCCATGTCGTTCGGATGGACAGAAACGCTCCTGCTCTGAAAATATTCAACGCGGGCCGC